ATCCCAATTGAATGTGAGGAGGGGGAAGTTAACTGATTGGTTGATGTCGATTGCGATCGTATCTTAGGTCCTTTGAGATTGCTATTTGGGTGTTAACTTGATTGATGCTCTTCCATTATTTCCCTCGGAAGAACTCGTCAGATTAATTAGGCCTATCCCATTTTCCTTCAAAAGGTTGTGTGCAAACTGTGACATTTTTCTGTAGGTATCTTGGATTTAAGAGAATTGTTCCATTAGATTGTAAAAGGCTTGTGGTTTTACTGGATTTGTATCAGATTGGGACACTTTCACAGAATAATTTTGAAGTTGATGTACATCTGGCACATGAGAAGAAGATGGCACAGCCAAGTCATCGTAGAGTTATTGTCTATAAGCCCAAGGAGGAGGATTACTTCTATGCAAATCCTCTGGAGTGCCTTTGTGTGCAGCCTAACTGAAATGATATACAAGGCTCGGGCAAGAGGAACTCCAGTGAAGTCTCTAGTTGATTGCCGGCAATGATAAACTATCGTTATCTCAACATGGGCTTGAGATTCAAGTTGATCTCTCCAAAAGTTGCAGCACAAGGTACAGTTATTTTTCCTTACAAGGAGATACGAAGACGTTCTTGAATTCGATGCACGAGCTACTCCACTTTCGTCATCGTGAATGGCTTTTTGTTTGTCCATGATAAGAGGCCAACAAGAAGCAGCAAGCAAAGAATTCTTGCCTTCCTTTTAGGGCAGCTGCAAAGATAAATTTGTCATTTTTTCTTGTCCATAGTTAACGATTGTAATACATTGAGAAGTCATTGAAAACGATTGTACATTTTTCTCTTCTTGTCATAACGCAGAATGAAAGCTTATTTTGGTTCGTGTCTATTATTTTGGTTGGTTGGGAAAGGATCGTTTAAGATGATGACTCGAGAGACATCTGCAATTCATTTTAATTTTGGTTCAGCTACAGAGATCGTTTCTTCTGGCAAAGCAGTGCCATGAACTTGTATACAACGAAAGACTGGAGAAGTTTGGTTCTTTACCTACTCAATGAAAATTGGCTGATCTAATACAAATCCTCGTAATTTCTTTATTCCCTCATAACTACATATGAATTGGAACTCGCTCGCCAAAGTACGGTACACAGATTGCTGATGATTTAAATAAGGGTAGTGCTTCAAATGATGTTTAACATGGCACGTTTATGTCATTAAACAGCTATAAGTTTAAAAAATATTTAATGATGTTTATAATTTTTATAATTTTTAAGGATAATGAATTTCTTTCCTCGGGGCATATGTTACCACATTTATTGTAATGAAAGTATTCTTTTTTTAATTGAGAAAGTGACCACTTTGATGTGACTTTTTCCATTTGATTTTTTTATAGAAAAGGAAATTTATTTTTTTTAATAAAATTGTTTCCACGATAACTTTAACATTATTGTCAAAATTTAAATTAAGAAAGTTGCAGAAATTATTTTTTGCAATTTTAAACAAATAAAAATTAAAACACTTAAATTAATCACCCAAATGGGCTTTGCAAATGTGTTTTCTATCAAACAACATTTCTCTTAAAGCTGTTTCTCAAAGAACATTTTACTAAATATTCTTTGTATTTTCCTAAAACTCTTTAGGCTAAACTGCTTTGTATTTTTTCAAATCTCATTGAAAAAGCTGAACCAAACGCAACTATAATTCGGATACATTTGCCATCTCCCACTCTCCATCTCACATCCGATTCAATTACCTCTCTCCCAGTTAATATGCTTTGCCACCCCCATGAAGGGCGGCTGCCCCTTCCAGCATGCCAGAATTCACCCTGTGGATAATATATTCCCTTCATAACTTGGCTCCATAGGTTTTGAGGTGCTTGTATTAGTCTCCACGCTTGTCTCCCTAGCATCGCCTTATTGAACTCCACTAAGTCCCTGAATCCTAGTCATCCCTCATCTTTCCTTGTTTTTAGTGACTCCCATTTCCTCCAGTGGATTCCTTTACGCTCAACATTTTGTTTCCACCAGAAACAGGCGATTCTTCTCTCAATTGATCTGCAAATTGAAATCGGAATTTTGAAAACGGACATCGCATACTGTGGAAGTGCCTGGACCACTGTCTTGATGAGGATCTCCTTTCCCGCTTTAGAAATCAGTTTCTCTTTCCAACCCTCCATAGCTTCGAGTTGACACGCGCTAAGACCCAAGCAAACATCTGTTTCTTTGATTGTCCCCAGTCGGAAGGAATTCCCAAGTATTTACCTGTTTTGTCAATAATAGGGACTCGTAGCTCATCCGCCATCTTCTCCTTTAATAGCAGCGGACAGTTTGGTCCAAAGAAGATGCCCGATTTGTTTAGATTTATTGCCTGCCCCGAAGCATAGCAGTATTGGTTTAAAATATTGGACAGGCTTTGGCATTCTTTAATTGTGCCATCAAGGAAGAAGATTGCATCATCCGCGAAAAGTAGATGGGAGATCGTAGGGCACCATCTATTTAGTTTGATTCCTCGCAGGCTGCCATTTAAAATTGCCCTGTTCATAAGTGAAGATAATACATTAGCCATTATGATAAAGAGATATGGTGATAGTGGGTCTCCCTGTCTTATCCCTCGGGATGGCTAAAATTGTTGGAGTGGTTCTCCATTCATTTTCACGCTGAAAGTCACTGTAGAGATACATTGTTTTACTCGTTGTACCCATTCTGCGCAGAATCCCATTGTCCTCATGCAGTCACATAGGAAGTCCCATTCAACTCTATCGTAGGCCTTTTGCATATCAAGTTTGAGAACCGCCTGGACTTTCTTTTCTCTCTTTCGGATTCGGAGTTGGTGTAGCATCTCTTGGACGATTAGGATATTATCCTGTATTTGTCTTCCACCCACAAAAGCACTTTGTTCTATCGCAATAATCTCAGGGAGCCATGGTTTGAGACGATTGGCCATAACTTTTGCAATAATCTTGTAACTGAAGTTGCACAAGCTTATTGGCCTGAATTGTGAAATATTCTCCGGGCTGGCTATTTTTGGAATTAATACAATTTGGGTCAAGTTAAGGGAGGGGTTGAAAGTGCCTGTAGTGAAGAAGCCGTCCACCATGTCGACTACATCTTGCTGGATTTCAGACCAGTATTGATGATAGAAATGCCCGTTTAGACCATCCGGACCAGGTGCCTTAGTTGCTCCCATTTGAAACATTGCTTCTTGCACTTCCTCTTTTGTGACCTTTTTCATTAAGGCCATGTTCATCTCATCATGGATAAGGTTGGGACATTGATCAAGCGCCGGTTGGTAGTTTCTAGGTCCCACAGTTGTGTATAAGGAGCGGTAGAATTGCCCAATGTGCTGCTTTAAGACTTCAGGGTCACGGCACCACTGATTTTCTTCTATTTTCAGCATTGATATTCGGTTACGTATTCTTCTTTGTATCGTTGTGGCATGAAAATATTTGGCATTTTTGTCCCTCCACTTTAGCCAATTTATCCAGGATCTCATGCTCTAGTACATCTCTTCTTGCCTCCATAAACTCTCTATGCGTTCTTTGAGTTGCTGCGATTCCTCCCTAAAGCCAGATCTGCTAGGGTTATTTGTTATCTCGGTTAGTCTCTTCATTAAGCACTCAACTTGCTTGCGAGCATTGGAAAATTTTCTTTTACTCCAAGTCCCCAATGCACTAGCCACCTTCCTCGATTTCCCCCCTAAGTCTCCATGGGGGCTGGACCTATCATGCCAAGCCTTTCTAACCACCTCCTTACATTCCGGGTCTTCTACCCAAAAAGCCTCAAACCGAAACTCCTTTTTCCTCTTGTTGTTATTTGGGTGCATTATTATAAGTAACGGACTATGATCAGAACCTATGGCTGGTAAAGCATAGGCCTCTGCACTTGGGAATTCTACTCGCCATTCTAGGTTGCAAACTGCCCTATCCAGTCGTTCTCTCACCAATGCATCCCCTTCTCTATTGTTTGACCATGTATATGCGCATCCCTTGCTTTCCATATCCATTAAAGAACAATCGTCCATCATTTCCCGAAAGGCCACCATTCTATGATTCTCAGCCCCTCGTCCACCAGCCTTTTCCCCAGTAATAACAGACCTCATTAAAATCACCCATACAAATCCATGGAAGAGTGTTATTGCGATGAATAGCCCGTAACTTTTGCCATAATTGTAATCGTTCCCGGAACTCAGTAGATGCATGAAGAAATGATATTCTCATTCGGATTCCACAAGTGGGGTCCCTACATGTTATGTCAATCAATTCCTTCGAGTAGTCCTATATTTCCACCGATATCTCTTCTTCTCACATAAGAGCCAAACCCCCTGCTGTGCCAATAGGATCAATAATAACTGCTTTGCTGAACTGGAGCTACTGTTTCAACCTATCCACTACTGTTCTTTTATTCTTGGTTTCAATGAGGAACACCAAATTGGGCCTATCAAGAGCCACTAAGGCTCGGAGGTGCTGGAACGTCGGGGTAGAGCCCAGTCCCCGACAGGTCCAGCTCAATACTTTCATCTATCCCTCGGTGGCTTATTAGGGCTAGCCACCAAAGCCCATTCTTGGGTTCCCACATCAACCTGAATGGGGGCATCAAGGAGAAGTGTCTCATCTATAGCCTTCGCGTCTATCCTCTGTAGATTCAGCTATTTCGCCTTCTTGATTTTCTTGGTTGCTGAGGGAATACGGCCTTTCCGACCGTTCTTATATGAGGTGGATGTACCTCTGGAATAAGCTACCAACTGTGGTGATTCTAATAGTAGAGGCTGGGTAACTTTATCACTTTTACCTTTTTCTGTTGTCAACTCCTCAATTATGTAGAGGAACCTTTAGCTACCTAGTGGCCGCATCGGTGGCCCGGCGAATCAACATGAACCTAAATATGTAGAGGAACTAATTGAACCAGTGACTCAAGACTGGAACCTAGTGAAGCTAAATGAACTTTTTGAGCAAATGATAGTCTAGGAGATCCTCGCCATCCCGCTAAGCATCGATTCACATAGGGACAGTCAAGTGTGGACAGAGCACGGGCTTATACTCGATCAAAAGTGGCTACAACAGAATGTGCTCCTAGTCAAAAAAATTTAACGCCAACCTGGCGTCAACATCATATCAGCCTCCTAAGAACCTATGGACTCGCATATGGCAGATTCAGCACTACCCGAAAATTCGCTTCTTCCTATGGAGTGTATGCAATAATGCTCTCCCAACGAAGGAAAACCTTTACAAGAGAAAACTCGTACCCGATCCATCGTGTCCGATGTGTAAGAACGCTCCTGAAATGCTCGAACATCTCCTCCTTCTGTGTGACTGGACAAGGGAAATATGGTTAGATTCAAACATTAAGCTGAAGACATCAACGGAAGCAGTCACTCGAATGGATAAATGGCTTGCAGACAACCTACCTTCCCAAGTAGGGTCAAAATCGGGTGGAATTCTGGCCAGAGTGCTCTGGCTCATCTGGAAAGAACGGAACGCGAAGGTTTTCCGGAACAGTAAACCACGACCACGGGGAGTAATAACTGAAGCAATTAGCGACCTCAATCTATATGAACACTGGAACCAAAAGGAGGGGAAACAGAGGGAAAGTGAAGAGAGAGGCTTACCAATTGAGGGATGGTCACCACCTCCGTCAGGCTCGTGGAAATTGAACGTCGATGGATCGTGGTGCAGTGAATCGCAGCAAGGAGCGGTGGCTGGAATCTGCAGAGACCATCTCGGGCGACTGGTGGGAGGCTTCGCGAAGAAAATCGTCGCTCCGTCCGCCCTCACCGCCGAAACCCTAGCCTTGAGGCAAGGCCTGCTGTTCATGAAAAGTCAGAGGGAAGCTTCGCCCAGCGTACTGAACGATGGAAGCGTACTGATAGAACGAAGAAATCTAGTGAAGATTGAGTCAAACTGTACTTTGCTGGAGAGATACATCACGGGTTGGGCTGAAGCTCCATGGGCCATCTGAATATTAATCAAAGATTGCACAAACCTCTTGGGTTGCTTAGAGGGTGTCTCAGTAACTTCTTGTTCAAGAGAAAAAAATCGGGCTGCGAATTGGGTAGCGAAAGTCCACCGGAACGATTCATTACCTATGAATTAGCTGTCTACTATCCCCATTTCTCTATTTTCTTTGTTATGTAATGACATGGGATCATCCTACAGTAAATTTACTTTTTAGTAATGGAAGAAGTATTTATCGACAAAAAAAAAAACGCAACTATAAGGATCTTAGACTTTCGAAACGCAGCCACCATAGCCCACTCTCCTAGGCCATATTTTCGGACATCTCACGAACCGGCTACAAACCTACGCCGCCACCAAACCATTCCAATCTGACGGAAGGTACACGTCACCACTCCCGTTTCGTCACTGCGCGCGACATCACTCACCCCCGCCGGCACCCTCCTCCCTCTTTAAATAGCTTCGCGCTTGGACGCCATTCTCGTCCACATTCACATCGAAGCCGGCACACCCAGAAGCAGACATCGCCCAAATTTTCTATCCCGGAACTACCGTACGCTAATGGCTTCTCCGTAAGACTCCCTCGCGATCTTGCGTTGTTGCTCTCTTTCCTGCGGAATTCGAGCCGTTGTTCTTGTGTTTTCTGACGATCCCTTGGTTGGTTTTTCGTTTCGATCCTGCCGCAGTGCCGTGGTAGAGAGCTTGCCTCCTTCGTTGAACTCCAGCGCCGAGCAGCCTCCTCTTTTCGATGGAACTATAAAGTTCGGTTCTTGTCTTTTTTTCGTCCTTGAGCGTCGTTGTTCGAGTTGATTCAGTGTGATTACTGATTAGATTGTCGTATCGTCTGATTACGTTTGTGTTCTCCGAATTGTCTGAAGGTTGTACACCTGTTACAAATGCCCATTTGCTCAGCGCGTCTGGATCACGAGGAACTATAAGGTGAGTTCATTCTTTGTGATGCATGTGAAATTTGACAAAATTCAAGTGAAATTTGTCTGTTTATGTCATTTAGTTCATTTTGATTGGGTTCGTGATTAGTTTCTAAATTGGGATTGTATTTCCGAGATGCAGGGACTCCAGGAGAAGATTAAATTAGTTCCTCTTATTCTTGAAGACAGGCCTGCTTGGTACAAGGAGAAAGTCTACCCCATGAATAAGGTGATTCTTCTTTTGCTCGTCTTTTGCCCGTCGCCGACTGTTTTAATTCTGGGTGTTTCACGATAGTAGCCCAGATTCTCCGCTTGACACTGATTGTCAAAGCCCAAGTTGGATTAGTTTAGGATTCCAAGCGATTGCTGCAGGATTCCAGATTTTAAAGATTGGCTCCTTGTGTTACTAGTTTTCATGTATTCCAAAACCAAGCATGGCTCAATTGCGATGCGTTAAGCATAGTTACACCGATCCACTTTGAGGAGGGAGATTTTGATGGCTTCTTGCCGGAAGGAAGGTGGATTGACTTCGCAGTTTTAGGAATTTTTTATTCTCGGTGGATGACATGGAAGCGAAAGCCTTGGTTTAGTAGGGTGCTCTACATTAATTGCAGCCGTACATTTAGGATCTGATGGATCAGATTTAATCGGCACTTGGACTTCAGCACTTGAACTTGACTTTCCAACTTGTTGGGAGTAGGGGCTTTTACTGGAACTGAAACTCCATTTTCCGTTCAACTCCCTTAACCTTAAAGACTTTGAGGGCTTACTTTTTAGGGCTTTCCACTCGCGCTACCCCAAAGGAACTAGAAGTAATAAGCTAAGCCCGCCAGCGGCCAACCAAGCCAATGCGCCATCCCTATCCCTTCCCGATGAAGCTTCCTTTTTACGTTTTTTATCATAAACTAACCAGGTTTGTCGTTTTTTTGGATCGAGAGTAAGCATTAGTGATAGGACAAGAATCGGGGAGACATGTTTCGTTTATTAGGAAGAATGAATTTTCTCTAGCACCCTTTAATCTCTTGTTTAGGCATCTGTTGATGCAGATGGAAATTTGTTAGAGGGACCGGCTGAATTGGTGACTCTCAAGGGTAGCCGATTTTAGTTTATGGGAACTAAATTGTCTCCCGACTTGGTTTATTTGACCTTTTAATCAAATGAAAAGGGTGAGTTTTAGCCATTGTTGATTTGATGGGTACATTTTGCTTTTCTCCTTCTGTAATTTACGATTAGGTACCGTCGTTGGAGCACAACGGGAAAATTATTGGAGAGAGCCTAGACCTGATCAAATACGTGGACAGCAACTTTGAAGGGCCTTCTCTTTTCCCTGATGTGAGCACTTGATAGCAAATGTGCATTTCTTTTTTCTGTGGCTTGCACATAACAACAAACTAAGTGGCAGCTCTTCGTTACGTAGGATCCTGAAAAGAAGAAGTTTGGTGAGGAACTGTGGTCTTATGTTGATGAATTCATGAAGATAGTCTACACTTCATTCAAGGGAGAAGGACCGAAAGAATGTGGTAAGTCCTCTAAGCACTTTCTTTGATGATAGGTATCTCCATTACCATTAGTGAACTTCATCTTCTGCATCAGGTTCTGCTTTCGATCATTTGGAGAGTGCTCTTGGCAAATTTGAGGATGGACCATTCTTTCTCGGACAATTCAGTGGGGTATGTTGGCATTCTCACATTTGATAAGGGGCTCTTCAGTGCTTCTTCTTTTTCTAGATGGGTTAGACAAGAGATCCATTGATCCATGCAATCCATATGATGTGCGAACGAATCTTGGAGAAAGAAGTTTTGCCTGATATGTGGCTATCAATATGTAATTCTTTTTGTGGTTGACTATTATTTAGGGTCTAATTTTGTGATTTCAGGTGGACATTGCCTACATCACATTTGTTGAAAGATTCCAAATCGTCTTATCTGAACTGTGGAAGTATGACATCACTGCTGGCAGACCTAAGCTAGCAGCATGGATTGAGGTATGGGAAGGAATCTAGTCTCTGGCCAATGCTTGTTTTAAGCTTCATTTCTTTTCCATTTTGAACAAAATTCTTACTTCCCACGAACAAAAGAAAGCTAAATTCCAAGATTGATTCCGAGTAAAATGGTGAATCAGTGATAATAGTTTCAGGATAGTGTCTAGAGCTAAACTTTGGCCTTGTTGAACCGTTGTAGTGTGGGAGCCTGTCTCTGGGGAGATTATAACCTGCTGTGAGGCAATTGTTATCTGAAGTCATCGAACATGCTTGGTGGGATTTTCATTAATAGTCTCCATAGTTTTCTTGTAGAGCCATATACAGAATGAGAGAGTCCTCATTCTCCACCGACCTTCAAATTATTCACTGGTTGTGGTGACTATATTTTCTATGCAAATACATCCTCTCTTGAGAGGAAAACATGATAAAGTTTCCTTTAGAGACCAAATAGTTTTACAGACAACCTTGGGATCTAGTGTGCTTGTACTACCTGGACAATGGCAAGTCATATTGTTACTTGTTGCAGATTCAGCAGCTCTGCTCAATTTCATCCTTGCTCAAAACCATATTATGCATTGATATTTCCTTTTACTTCATCCCGTGCAGGAAATGAACAAGATCGACGCTTACAAGCAGACAAAGACCGATCCTATTGAACTTGTTGAATCCTACAAGAAGCGCTTCACTGTAATGCTTCTAACTCAAACTCGATGTCACGAATTTTTCTGAACAACTTTCTTTCCTCTCTCAGCGCCAGTGAGTTTGTTTCTAGTCACTAATTAGTTTTTTCTTCAAATGCAGGCTCAGCAGTGAATGGAGTCATGACCATGCTAGGCTATGTATGAAGGGGAAAAGGTGAGTAAGAAAAGGGTCGAATGGCTTGATAGTTGGTATACCTTCTTTTGATGTTTCTCTGAGGCTTATGTGTTGTGTATCCGCTCTAGATGCAGCGATGCCCGTGTTTTACAGCTTGAAAATGTTATCGGGATATTACTTGAAATTTCGTATATGTAACAGTTCATTTTCAAATCATTTGCATTATTGTCTGTCTTCATATTGATGTTTCTTTGGTTTTTCCCTGGCTTCCCCTCATCAAAGCTGCTCAACTGTCCTGGCTATTCCTGATATTTGCTCATCTTGAGGCTTATTGACTCAGACAGAAGAAGCTCTTCATTGAAGAAAAAATAAAGAACAAGCTGTTGTTATAATGGTACTGTGAAAAAAAAGTACTTTAAATTTTGGGTTGATCCGTAGGTTATGTGGGTTCTATTGTAATATGAAGTGTTTAGTTTGGGTTGTGGCAATTTCTATGAAAAAAGTATTTTATTTATGTATTTTACCTTTTCTTTTTTACAGAATGTTATCAGACTTTTTTTTTTATCAGACTTCGATAGGTATAGGTAAATATAAATCTAACCTTCTCCACACGCGTGGCATTTACCGTTACTCTGAATATTCAAATCAAGAATTTAGAATTGGACAAATGATACGAGACAACATCTTTATCTTTTACTACAAATAAAAAGAAAAGGGCGAATGCCAACGCATAAAGACGTCATTTTTTCGGGCGAAAGGAAAATTTCTTGAGCAGATTAGTAGTGCCCATGCCTCATTAGCCAAGATGTTATATTTTCATCACCCATATTTTATTGGCGACAATGCTCATTATTTGAGATGAGTTTTGACTAACTAGGGAATAGATACTCACATGTATATATCGGCAGCTACTATGTCGTATTTGCACGTCATGAGATTTGTATGTTCATCCGCGTGCATTTGATTATTGAATTGTATGTAACTCATGACATTTATTTTACGGCACACATGATTATAGTCATATATATATATATATATCATGTGAGTTATGTCTTAAACGATTTGAAATAATATGTTTGAAAAATGTAAGTGAATACTTGCCATTTACGGTAGGTTGATATTATTGTTACTAAAGTGACAAAGTGATGAGAAATTTGAATGTGTGGTTGGAGATGTGGATTTTTGACATGATTATGAATTTATACTATGATGCGTACTCATAGTAGCTGAAATGGTTAACATGTAGTATATGGATTGGGATGCAAACATTTGAATCGTGTAAAATAGAATACATGCTGCATTTCCAGAGTGATCGAAATATTCTATTATGAATACATAAATAACTAAGAAATATCTTGAATAAATGAAGGATTGGTATATTCTGAATTATAGTGATTTCTCTAAATGATATTTGATATTACTTGTTGATTGTTACTATGATGTTGTGCTTAGAGGTTGAGTAGTGAGTAAATCTCCTAGTTAAAACCTAGAGCTTTTTTTGTTACGAAGCTTAGACTCACCCTCAAAATACCTTACAGATTGGTCGGGGACATTTAGATTAGCACTTCCGAAGATCTCTTGAGGATTGGATTAGAGTACGTAAATAAAGTAGGAGTTTGCATTTTGTATTGGGAGTTAGGATTTTTTATGATTGTGTACATGACTTGAGGTTAAATTAATTATTTATTTGAGATTCAAATTGTATGGAAATTTCAGGTCATGACATTACAACCCCCACCTTTGATCTCATCACAAAGCTTTCAACAAGGACTTATCTTAGACGCTATATAAGTTGTATTATTGTATTGGGCCAAACAAGGGATATTTAGGGGTGTCAATGGGTTGGGTAGGGTTGGGGCGGGTCGGGCTGACATTGGCTTTTTTGACACCCCTAGCCTTTACTTTCTTGGCTCTTCCATGCTCATCTACTTCGGTGGGATTTATCATCTTTAACATGTACTGATGTCTAGTTGATCTAATATAATCCTCTAGAATAGGATAATCTAAAGGCTGGAACGTATATACATTTTGAAGAGCTAGAGGAGGGGATTAATGAGTACAATTAGACTGGGGAAGTTCCTGGAGATGGCCGGTCAGACTTCACAAAATTGTGCAAACTCTCTCTGTCATGATGGATGTTTCCTTACCCATTTGAGATTGGGTTTGTAAAATGATGAAATTGGTTTAGAAGGAGGTGGCTTTGCTTTGGAAGGAGTGGGTTTATGTTTCTCCAAGGGGGCTGATAGTAGTGTCGACATCTTCCCATTTTGGGTAAATATCACGAGAAACCCCAAACTGGTAGATCTGTGACAAATTTACCTTAAACTAATTTTTTAACCACCAAAAACCTTGAACCAGTACATCTGTGATAAATTTACCCTCCGTTAGTTTTCATTAAATTTTACCGTCAAATTGCTAATTTGGATAACACGTGACAGTTGATAGGTGTATTAATTTGGGGTATTACCCTCCGTTTGTCACAGGTGTACCAGTTTGTGATTTTTCGTAATATAAATCCAATTTAATGGAAAATAATGGAAAATAAATTTGTCACAAACATACAAGTTTAGGATTTTGAGTGTTTAAAAAATTCTTTTGGAGTAAATTTGTCATGGGTGTACTAGTTTGGGGTTTTTAATAATCAAAAAATTAGTTTGGGATAAATTTATCACAGGTGTACCAGTTTGGGGTTTTCCGTGGTATTAACCCTCCCTTTTTTGGAAAAATTCTTACTTAGATAAGCGAGATTTCTTCTTCTTCTTCTTTGAAGGCTTGTCATCCTCTTCTTATGAAGGGCTAAACAAAATTTGCTCTGACAGTTTAGATTCCTAAAGCAATGACCTGAGGATCTTTAAAGTAGACAGGAGTATGCCTCTCAGAGTTGATAGAGTCTATTCAAGCCTTTTCTTTCACTTTCATCTTCCGGAATGTATGACTGCATCATTAAAATGGTATGAAAAAAAATAGAGGAAGAAGGGTTTTCTTCTTTTTCCTTTGAATGATCAAAATTAATAACCATACCGCCAGACTTCTTTTGGTGAATTTGGACTCTAAAAACTGGATAGGCCTGACATTTTGATGGATCTTCTCATAGTTAATCACCCATGTATCTAAAAGAAGCTTAACTAACTCTAGGCGAGGAAAATTCCTTGGCGCATGGACCCACGAAGTTGTTATCTACTTAAACGAAAAGAACATCTTCTACTTTTGAAGGAGTAAAATCAAGAGCATGATTCTGGGTGAAGAGTTACTACAGTAGAGTCCACAGTACGAGGGAATATTGCCCGAGTGGAATACTCCACGTAGGCTATGCATAACACCATTGAGCGCGTGACATGTGGCCAATTGACCCACAAATCAGATTTATCAAAAATATGACTCTTTTCCTTTTCTCTCCTATTCTCTGTTAGCCTCCGTTAAACCTCATCGCTCTTGCTCAAAAGTTTTCACTTTTCACCTGGTCTCTCTCTCCCTCACTCCTCCCGCTCCCGACATCCTCTTCCTTCCCCCATAACTTCGTCTCCTTTGGTCGTGAACCTGCTGTGCCTCCGCCGGTTGCCTCCGCCGTCCCCTTATGAGAAAACCCATATGCTCTCTCTTTCCTCTGCGAAGTGCGGCTCTTTTTGTGAACCGCGCCTCCACCTCCGCCTCCGCCGTCGCCTCTCGGAGTGCATCAGTGGCTTAGATCCCAACCACCCGGCCACCTCCGCCTACGCTATCACCTCCGAAGCCCCCCATTGGCAATTTGTCCTCTGCCCCTCTCTCTCTATCCCAAGAAACGGCTAAGCTCGACTCTTTGTGACAAACCGTGCCTCTGCCGTCGCCTCTCAAAGCCCCTTTGGCGATCTCGGGTTCCGACTCGCCCTCTACGTTGCCTCCCGAAGCCCCATTCTCATGTTAGGGTTTTCTATGACTTGAACTTATTCTCGTCGTTTTTGCACTAACGTGAAGATCGGTGGCTCAGATCCCGACCATGCGGCCACCTCTGCCTACGCCGTCACTTCCGAAGCCCCCCATTGGCGATTCGTCCTCTGTCCCTCTCTCTTTGTCTCAAGAAACGGCTCTGCTCGGCTCTCTGTGACGAACCGTGGCACCAACATGTACGCAAAAATGGCTATGGTAGAGACTACTCTGTTGGATTGCAAACAGACTATAAGAGATATTAGATAATGTAGGTCAGGAGCACGCCGGAGGAGTGGAAGTCACTAGGTTTTAAGGTTCGTTGTTCTTCTGTTTTTTCCTTTTTTGGTTTGTTTCGTCTTCACGGAATTATTTTTTTGGCCTCATTTGGAGTCAACGTGATATGTGAATGTTAGGGATTTTGGAATGACAACAGCGACCGTAAAAGTATAGCTGATCTTGAAAATTGTGTATAGAATGTGAACATTCTGTGGTACACATGGTGATCGATTTGCCAAATTTATTGGTTTTTTAATAGCTTGTCTGGATACTTTTTTTTTTTATGCATAAGATATGAACTTTCCTTGAATCTTTTTTCTCTAGACATGAAACTGTTTGAGGAAAAGTAGGTGTGGCTTCTATGAGGGAAAGACATTAGTCCATGATACCCCGTTGAGATTATTTTTCCTGTTTGGTAGTAAGTAAGAGATTAAACCCCAATAATGTTAATTTGGATTTCCTATTCGTTATTGATGACGATGTGGAGTTTAGTAATTACATTGGGTCCCTAAATAAATCCCGTGCTTGTACATTCTCCTAATTGTGTTTGATTGTGCTCTAAAAATGTTTGTGTGAGTGATTGTGTTCTAAAAATGTTTGTTTTGGGACAATTTTATGATCCACTTTGAAGTGGAGGGACAAATTGATTTGCCTTTACCCTAAAGAAACAAGTTAGGTTCAACTCATAAAAAGATCACGCTATTATTTTAACTCTCCACACTTCGTTTTCTGTATAAATTAGATCTATCAATTTGTAAGTGACCCATGGTGCTTGTTGAGGCTGGGCATGAGCCAAAATTAATGCAAAAGATAAATCATGATACTTCCCTCAACTTTCTCCTCATCTTCTCCTTGTAGTA